CAGTTGTACATTTTAAAATAAGCCAATTATAAAGCTCAATATATCTAGTCACAGATTTACAGGCTTGTGATGCTGAAATCTGTTGACAGATATGCTATTGTTGAATCATAACTCCATCAAGTTTAGGCAGAAATATAGGGGTATTTTCTACGCGCTGCATTTCAGGCAAACCCAATTCTTTTTTTGAACACCTATTTTGTGAGCACAGCGAGGGGTTGCTATGGAAACAGGTTGAAAGATCCCATGCCATAATTAATACCTTGCCACAAACATAAGTTATTTTCAGATCATCTTTTATTTAGCAATCTAGACATGTAAAAATCAAACAACCCCGCTGACTAAAGCATTCACACAGCAGTTTGAAATTACATTTTTTTTTTTAAACAAGCATAAACCAGACAATATACACAATGCGTTGAACATCATAAATAGCATGACACATTTAGACAATCTCACAGATCACTACAAAAACATTCTTCCAGACAGATCACTTAAGAAAAACCAAAAGCAAGAATGGGAGGTTTTCGTTTTTCTAGTTACTAAATTTCAGTGATTAAAAAGATAATGGAAGTTAAAAACAACTTTGGTATAAAAAAAAAGATGGACATTCTTCACTACATTCTCAGTCTTGCAAGCAGAGTAATGGGTTTTATGTTGTTTGTAGCTTGTGTAATGAACTTTAGTATGGTGGCATCCATAAAATGAGAAGTCCTCTAATACATCACACTGCATGGTGTTTTACTCCAAACATCAATTTTGCCGCCTCTCATCTCACATCAGTCATGTCACTATAATAAAGACTAATTGCTGTAAACAAAGTATAAAAAGACAGGTGCAATGCTCGCTCATTTTATAGCAGGAATAGAGCCTGAACTTGGTCTCAGTGTCAAATACCTCTGTTTTTAAAGCTCATCCTGTAATACAATCAAGGTAATATTAATTCAGCATGAACAAAAGAATCTCTAATATTCCTAGAGGACTCGTTGACCTATAAAGTGCCATAATCTGCTATTGAGTGTCATTCAACAATCAGAATGGATTTGATTTGTGATGGTAGCCATGGAGATAGTTTTGCAGATATCAGTGTGACTCAGATCTGACAGAGAACTTGGACTGTGCCATGTCTAATACCCCAAACCGATCTCATGGCAATTTGTACATATTTTTTGAATTCGTAATTGTACATATTTTCATACGAACGACCTACCCCTAATCCTGTCCCTACACTTTACCCATCAATGGGGTCTAGACAAATCAAACAAATGAGGTCGTACGAATTAGCTACCTTGTAAAATATGTACTAATTGGTCATGAGATAGCATTGGATACCCATATCAAACTTTATGAACTGATCTAAAGCTCAAGATGTGGACACAATGTGCATGAGTAGAAACAACTGAAAAGGTACTGGTGATTTTCTGTCAGGTCATTATCTGTTTGGATTCAATTTCCTTTAAACCTAAAACAGAACACAGTGTAATAAGTAATTCAAAATACAGGTAAAACCCCTGTAAAATAATTCCTTCATAATAACACAGTACATTGTGCCCTATGTTACAAATTTTTCTTAGTGTGGCCATGAAGACTGCGAAGTTTTGGGAGTGAAAACTACATTCAAATGTGGCAGCGACTAGACTGAGTGTAAAACAAAAGGAAGATCCCAATTTCACTGAGTGAAAATAGTGTTAGATACAGTTTGCACCAAGTATAAATAGCAACAAATAGCATCTTGTTTACACTATGTTCAAATAGTGATGTATTCACAAAAAGGTTAAATAGATGTAAATATGCAAACTACACATAAAATATCTAAGCAATTCTGGGCATTATAATGCATTATAGTTTGTAGTAACCTTTGCAAACAGTGTAAATAGACACCACCTTTACAAATTATATTTGAATCTCCTAAATGATTTAGAATCTGAACAGAATTTAAATGGAACATTTTGTGGCTTTGAAGATGAAATACAAATGGCAACTTTTTAACCTGTTTGTTGTTATTATCTATTGTTGGGAGAGTGACTAGAAATGTTAAAATCTGGGACATTTTAGTTATCCGGCGTCAACAGAAATGCAGTTTTGCAACCTTTTTCCAAACTTTTTTGGTCTGTGACCCACGCACCCAACTGAAATGAATACATTCACCCTTTCTATTTTCTAAATGCATCTCAATGATCTAATTATGAACAATCAATCCATGTTATTTCACTTTGAAATTTGTATTGACCTCTTCTCAAATAATTTATTGTGCTTAAACCATGCCCCTTTCCATTCAGCACATCTGCCTCCATCCAATCAAAATCCAATCAACTGAACCTCTACTCTTTGTCTTCTTTGATAATCTGTTTCACTCAGATGTACGTCACCAAACGGAAGACAACTTTGAGAAAAACAATACATTTTACATTGTTTTTTCCCCCGCATTTTTGAAGATGCTGTGTCATGTTCATAGTTCAGCTTTGAAAACCCCTGCATTTTGCCCCATTTTGTTTTCCATCTAGCTGCTATTGAAAACAAGGATACATCTTGTGTGAACAGCCCCTCATTGCTCAAAATCTCTGGTGACCTCAAGGCAGAAAACTGTAGTGGAGAGACAGGTATCAACATTTGCAAATGAGATACATTCCTGCCATTTTCTAGCACAATCTACGTGTATAATTAGCAGTTCCACTGCGATAAATTACATCACAAGGATTTCATGAGGAGCGTCAACCATATTTACCTGCAGTGTTGTGCTTGAAAAAAGCATAATCCTCTCAAACAGTAAAAGTCTGGTTGTGCAGAACTGACAGTGCTAATATTAGCTCACATCTTTGCCATCTCTATGTGGGTTTAGAAGAGGTGTACAAAACAACGCCAACGCCTAATGCAAGGTTGTTTTAAAGTGCTGCTGGAGCGTGTATTTCACCTTGACTGATGTGGGATCCTCCTCAGCTGAACTGCCAGCTCTGCCCACCGCAGGGACTTTTCCAGACAATGGCCGTCTCATGACAGAGTCTGGATTAATCTGTTCTGACCACAACCTATTGCTTTTCCTTTCTTTCCCAGCACCACTTATAACTTCTAGGCCCTGCGTCGGTATTGTCATTTTTCAACAAGAATGCCCTTTGATAATCCAAGCACAGCTTGATTTCTTTGATGATAACTGTGGTGTTGCTTCATGACTACTGACAAGTCAGTTTATCTGGAGCAGGACAGAGGGTAGTGACCACACAGCAAGTGGGACACGACCGAAATAAACAGCTAATGGAGGACTGTTACTGTTCTAGTTCAAAACAAGCCATTGTAACCATTATAATAGCTCAAATGAACAGTGAGAGACTCAACAGCACAGCATGATGCAGATGACACAATATATTATTTCCCAAAATTCGACTCATCATTAGTGCTGGGAAAGTTGTATGGCGATCACCTGGCCTCTGTGATTCATTTTTAAACAGTGGAACTGCATACTCCTGCGGTTTTAACCACAGACAAGTTACTCCTACATTATTCTACAACAGTCACTGAGGGGTTTTAACAGACCATTTCACACTGCAAGCCAAAGTGCACAATTAATTTTTCTTCGAAATTTTTTTTTCGTAAAGTTGTTCTACCTTTTAAATGCGGCCCATATCAAACACTGCTCTAAACAGGCAATGCTCAAATGATGAATTAAAAAACAGATTCATTCAAGAATAACAAAGTTACTATCTTTAGGAGTGAGTCATTGAATTATTCACTCAAGCGATTTGTTCCAAAACGCCACTGCTGTGTTATGCATGCTGACCCTGACATGTTTTTAACAACTTACATAATACAATTTAACATTTTATTATATTAAATTTGAACATTTAACTTATATTGTCAGGTTTTTATTATTTCAATATACTGTATATGCCTCTTTGGCATCCCTTATGTTGCTTCCACAAATCAACAAACAACCTTGTCAATGGATAATGCATACTATCTTCTTTTTTTATATATTTTAGTTAAACAAAAAAAATAATAGTGTGTAAATAAATGTTTGTTTAATTTCAGTGTGATCTTAATGAAGTGCAACAGTTTTACAGCAGCCTTGGTTCCAGAAGTATTTTTTCCATTCATATTTCCCATAGAGATTTTTTTAGAAAGTCTTCATCAGTTTTAATGAGTGGAAATAACTAGAGTCCCATGCAGCAATGTGAATGACAGGATCGAATAACAAATGACGAAGAAATATACAATTATTCATTTAAATATGTATACAAATGTCGTTTGATAGCTGGGAAACTGACCCTGCCTCATTTGCTGTGCTTCATGGGAGCAATTCTCTAGCTGGTGGAGATTTCTTTGCAGAATCATGGGTAATGTAGTTTTCATCAGCTGTTATTTTTTTTTAGTGCTGTCAAATGATTAATCGCGATTAATCGCATCCAAAATAAAAGTTTTTGTTTGCATAATATGTGTGTGTTCTGTGTATATTTATTATGTATATATAAATACACACAAATACAGTATATGTTTTGAAAATATTTACATGTATGAATTTTTCTGAAATATATACATGTATGTGTGTGTACTTATATATACATAATAAATATACACAGTACACACACATATATTATGTAAACAAGAATTTTTATTTTGGATGTGATTAATCGCGATTAATCATTTGACAGCACTATTATTTTTAAAAAACAAGTTGAAGTAATGAAATATGCTTCAAGAAAAGCACATACCATTGATTAACCACCATGTAGTTCACAGTAGCAAGTTATCATTAAAATCAATTTCTCTATGGAGAAAATGAATATTATTTTTACATCTGGAACACCACTGTTGCACTCTATTGCCTTATTGTATTATCATATATTTCCCATGGGCTAATAGTTATCTGCTCTCTAGATAACTATTCATGTTGGCCAATGAAAAATCCACAGTAGTGCCAAATAATAGTTAAGAGTTCAAAGGTAAACCAAGCTCACAATATTTGAGAGTAAACAGTAAAGAAACAGAATAAGAAAATATACTGTTGCACCTTTATGTGTAGTACTTTTATATTGTAATTCATACATTTGTTTGAGTCAAACCAAGGGTAAATCCAATGTGCAAATATGATGAAAACCCTCTAAATTCACACTAAAGTCACATGGGGACTCACTTTATCCGATTTTATACCCACATATGAAAGTAAACAAAATCTATATTGGTTCATACTAGTACTGTCATCCCAAAACCCCAGATCTAGCATTTGTAACAGAAAAAAAAAAATCAGATTTGGGTCACATTGATCTGTGTGAATGTAGCCACAGTGTTTGAGTTTGTTTGATAGCTTGCTGTCTTTCCCTGCCGCTCCGATGAAAATGTCCTAGAACGCCCCTGTCCACTTTGATCAGTCTCACCACCAAAATAGCATGCACCACTTTTTGTTTTTTTTTAACAATCACAGACACACACACTTTCAGTCTCTGCTTGATTCCCTAGTCGCTTGCACAGGCACTTTTTGCCTAACAGCAAAAAACCAATGGAGAAGACAAGAAACCCTGTGAACTAGTTTCCATTCTTTGTCCTCCATAGTAAAAAGAAACGTCTCCAAAGACAATACCTCATTGCATTTTGGTCACAGTCCTCTATGAAATCTGACAAAACTGCAGGAAGGTTTATAAGTCTGATTGATTTTTTTAGCTGTCATTGAGTCTTCTTTAAAGGTGAAGTGTGTCATTTCATGTTAAATACCCTAAAAAGTATATAAACACTGTCCATTTGTTGACACAAACGGCACAGAAATTACACTTCACCTTTAAACTGATGTCACAAACCAATGTTTATTCACTCAAATCTATTGTAAAATTAATGACAGAATTTTTATTTTTGGGTGAACTATCCCTTTAACATAAACTGGGACATATATGTAGAAGATACAAGGAAATACTAAAATATTGTTCCCTTTGGGTCAGTTGTTGTTTATAGAGCTGATGTACTCACACAGCGATAAAGACTGAAATGTGCTCCACACCACACCACACCAATCAACAGCACAGATTCAACTAAAAAGATCATGGGTTATTGTCATGAAAACAAACGCTTCATATGCAGTAGAAACCATGTTTCCTTCTGCTAGGAGAAAGGCAGCTTTCAGGGACCAGTAATGGACCAATAAAAGCAGCAGGTGCAGTGCATCATGGGTAACAGTCTCGCTGCCCACGGCGATACAGTCTTTTATATACAAATTAAAAATTCCTCCCATGGCCTGTATCCTCGGCACGACCGTGTCCTCATATGTCGCACAAGAGGCAAAAAACTTTTTGCCTTTTTCCTTGCAGCTCCGTATTCCCAGTCTCTTTTATGGGCCTCTCAGTACTCCCACTCATCTGTCTTCATATCCAGGTAACTAAGGATATTCTGGGCATGTTTAACAGCTTGCTTACGGGCATTTTTGGTCCCCTGGTCACCCTGAGGGTCCACAGCATCAAGAGCCAGAAGTTGTTTGGTCAGTAGCTCCTCTAATACCATGTAGCTCTTGTCAGCCCTCTTGCCGTCAAAGCCCAAAGCCTGAGCCTGCAGGTCGCACAGGCTGGCTAAGACACGCCACACGGCTGCATGAGGCGGAGGCTCGTCTGATCCGGGGTTACGCCGTCCGAGGGCTTCCCAGAGGTCTAGGAAGGTGATGAGTGCCTGAACTTCCAGCACGGCCCTGCGCCGCGCCTCCCGGATGCAGGGATTTCGCCCCGTGCCCACCTGATCCAGGTGCGTGAGGAGACCTTGCAGCTCCGTCCCCTGTCCTGCAGCACCGTGCCGGAGCACCTCCTCCCGCAGCACTGAGACGCGGCCCCTGATCGCCTCAATTTCACGGATCGAGTCATTCTGCGCTAGATCATACCTGGAGATACAGTGAGTTAACTTCATTAATATAGGTTAAGTAACTAATAATCCATTAAAATAACTATTGATCACATAAGTTGAACACACACGTTAAATTTTGAGTATTAATAATAATCATTTAAATGATATATACTGTATACATTATTTAATATATTTAAAAATGGGGGAAAAAGGTGTTACAAAGGACTTCTTTAAAAAAAATAAAAATTATGAATCCTGAAAAACATAGGAAAAAAATAACATGAATTCCACAAAGTTAAGCAGCAACTGTTTTTAGCATTCATAACAAAAAAAAAATTTTCTTGATATTTGAAATGTTTCTTAATCATTGATGCTCAAGAAACATTTTTGTTATTATTAATGTTGAAAAAAACTTGCAGCTTAATATTTTTGTGGAATTATGTTTTGAAACCCAAACTTGTTTTGAATGGTAATGTTTGTAAAATTGTAATACTTGTAATACCTGAAAGTAATACATTTATTCACTTCTTTCAAAAAAAAAAAAAAAATCAATTATTTAAAACTTTTGTATATTAAAATGTTTATCTTTTAACAAAAAATTCTAATTTATATTTTCAAATTTCACCCTTAAATAAGACTACTTGAATGTCTCATAAGTAAACACTAAACAGAATTTCAGTGGTGCTGCATATTGTAGTTTGTGTGTTGATGTGTTACCTGCATGTGTCCTCTCCTTCTCCTTCCAGGTCAAGATGTTTTAGCAGACCGTTGATCTCCTCCACCACTTGTTTTCTGTAGTTCCTCACCGCAGCATTACTAGACACGTCCAGGGCGTCCAGTTCAACCAACAGCTCTGTAAGGATCCTCGCCAGGTGGGCACAGCTATCGCGCCCACTCAGACCCATCAGCAGAGCCACTTCCTGGCACCGGGCACCACTCACCTACACAAGATGAGTTCATCTCAGGTTTTCTTTATTTTACTGTCAACATTGTTTAAGTCGTATCATGGCTAAAATCAGAATGTTTTTTCAAAAATTATTAAAGAGGTTATATACACAAGTTCTAGGGCTGGGCGATAAATCGATAACGATAATTATCGCGTGTTATAAATTTCCTCGATAGACAATAACAAGAGATCGATAAATTTTTGATACAATGTTTATGAGGCAAAGGCAGAACGAAAGAGCGCAACTCATTTGAAGCGCGCCTCTTGGATCAAAGTTTAAATGGCGGCGTGGCGCGAGCTTCACTAGAGCAGATGCGTTCACTCGCTGATGAGTCTCGATCAAACGGTGCTGTGAGGTCCAGTGTGAAGCACTTGCATTCAGCGAAGAACACAAGTAACTCTGTTTACAGCCAGATGATACAGCGCTGACAAACAGGAGAAACACTGTGCGCAACGATACAGTTAGAAGACTTTTTAATCTACAAATTGCCATCATTTACCATAGATTTACTGTAGTAGCACTAACTGCACCATGGTATTGTGTCAGAAATGTGAGTATTTGTGTAGAATTTATATTATTAATGAAGACGTTTTAAATGTATTGAGGAGGATTAATGGAATATAATTACAGTATTTATTTTTGTGATTAAGCTATAGGTATTTATACTAAATTTATTTAGACTAGCTACTGTTTTTCATACAAATACCTAAAAACCATATTACATGCTATATTTGTGGTTTTAACTGTGATTATCATGATCTAAATGTATGCTACTATGGAAGACCAAAAAAACTCAAACAGTCAGAATAATTATATTTCACTATATAAAAAATTAGGTTCCTAAAATAATTACAGATATCACTGATTTTGATAATAAACATAGATCTACATCTGCATCCTAACTTAAGCTACTATTAAATGTGTATTTCTAAGAGATTTCACATGACATGCAAGAAAAAAAAAAAAAATCGTGCGCACAATTTACTAATTCCCTCGATGTACTAAAACGTGCACACGATTACCATTTCGTTCCCTCGATTTACTAATTAGTTCCCTCGATTTGCTAAATCGTGCGCATAATTTACTAATTTGTTCTCTCGATTTATAAATCGTGTGCACGATTTAGCAAATCGAGGGAACGAATTAGTAAATCGAATCGTGCGCACAATTTATAAATCGAGGGAACTAATTAGTCAATCGTGCGCACAATTTATAAATCGAGGGAACTAATTAGTCAATCGTGCGCACAATTTATAAATCGAGGGAACTAATTAGTCAATCGTGCGCACAATTTATAAATCGAGGGAACTAATTAGTCAATCGTGCGCACAATTTATAAATCGAGGGAACTAATTAGTCAATCGTGCGCACAATTTATAAATCGAGGGAACTAATTAGTCAATCGTGCGCACAATTTATAAATCGAGGGAACTAATTAGTCAATCGTGCGCACAATTTATAAATTGAGGGAACTAATTAGTAAATCGTGCGCACAATTTAAAATCGAGGGAACTAATTAGTAAATCGTGCGCACAATTTATAAATCGAGGGAACTAATTAGTAAATCGTGCGCACAATTTATAAATCGAGGGAACTAATTAGTAAATTGTGCGCATAATTTATAAATCGAGGGAACTAATTAGTCAATCGTGCGCACGATTTATAAATCGAGGGAACGAAATAGTAAATCGTGCGCCCGATTTAGCCTACTATTTTTTTTCCTGCATGCCATGTGCAAGGCTCCGTACAAACGTGTTTCTTGATTTGAAACAATATTACTCATTAGAACATGCAGAACTAAGAAATTATTTTTTTCTATTAAGATATTTATTTTGTTAAGGAAAAATGACTGGAAAAGTGTCGTGTTCTGACCATAAAAAATTAACTGTCTGGTTTTCGTACAAAAAAAAACTAACATTTTAATGGCTATTTTCTACTCTCTCTCTCTGACCTTTAAAATAAAAAAGGTCTGTTTTTAACTGCTGTATCTTCACATGTAAAATAAATAACAGTGATTTGCTGGTTAAGATGCAGGATTGTGATTTCTCGTGATATTTTTTTTTGCAATACCACTCACCTGCGCCATGACTTGATTAATATGCTGCACAGCCTCATGCGTGTCATCGGACAACGGCAGCGCCAGCGTTTGAGTGCGGACACGACCCTCCAGTAATTCCTGTACGGCACAGACCCGTGTCAGCGCTTTGTAACGGGCCTTCCTGAGAGGGACACTTCCACCCGTCTTAACCTGAGCCAGCCGCATGGCCACGTCCTGCACAGCCTCCACCAGCTCCTCACTGATCTCAAAGGCATCTTGAGCCTGGCCCTGCCGGAACGGCCCCACAACCCCTTCATTCAGCAAGTTCTGCACCTCCTGGGTCAGCTCCTCAATGGCCAGCCGAGACGGATGCGTAGCGTTGCCCTCCAGGTAGCGAAGCAGACCCTCCACCTCTCCTGCCGCACGCTTCCGAGCCTGCTGAAGCTCCGGCCGGCCCTCCGTCTCCACCTGGGTCAGGAAACAAAACATGGTTGAGAAGAACAAACTAGTGTGACTTCATACCGAACTAAAAAGTTGGATGGCCTGTCCTGACCTTATCGATCTCCAGCAGTAATCGGGTCAGCTCTCGCTCCATTCGTTTGTACTCCCTGTCGCTCTGCAGGCCGCTGTAAGAGCACACCTGTGGGCCCAGGGTGGCAATCTCCCTTTGCACCTCGTCCAGGCGTAACAGGGCTGGGTGCTGCCCGGGGTATGGGCCCTGGGGTCCTGCATAACCTGTGAAGGGTCCTGGCATCTGCGGAGTCTGTGGCTGCTGACTGCCATGATCCATCGTCCTCTTCCCACCATCAAAGGGTTTCCTAAACAGGCTGAAGGAGAAGAGAGAGGTGAGAGCTGGTCAGGATGTGGAAATAGTCACAGTGTGATGTTGGGACAATACAGTGGATGAATTTCAATACAAGTAAAAGAGAAAATTTTTATGGGTAGCTGGCAGGAAAACTACTTTAAACAACATTTTGTTAATTCTTTTATTGTGCAGGTAGAATTTATGAGCTCATACTAACTGATAATAGCAGACTATATAGAATATTGTGAGAAAAATAAATTTTTTACACTACATGACCATTTAAATTAACTAGTGAAAGCAGTAAGACGATTAAAACGGCAAAAAAAAAACGAAATAACAGCACCTAAAATTATACAATTGTTTCTTTAAACAAACTCTAGCACTCAAAATGTTTTGCTTTTGTTTTTGAAAGAAAACTTTTATGCTTACCAAGGCTGTATTTTATTTAATCAAAAACACAGTAAATTATTAATTATAAATGTCTTTACTGTCAGTTTTTGGAATAACTTACTGACCCCAAACTTTTGAACAGTAATGTACATTCAAATGTTATCAAATAAATAAATATAAGTTCACAGACATAGTGTGTGCTTCAACTACACTTATACAGTGGCCTCAAAAACAAGTTTCTGGTCCCCATTGACTTCCATAGTATGGAAAAAAAAACATATGATGTCAGTGGGAACTAGAAACTGTTAGGTTGCCCACATTCTTCAAAATATCATGTTCCACAGAAGAATTACTTCACACGAGATTGGAATGTCATGAGGTTGAGTAAATGATGACAGCATTTGAATTTTTTAGTGAATTATCTCTAAAAGACACACTTAAAATGAATTTTATTGTATTAAATCGAAATAACAAAACATCAGGCAAATATGTGGTGACAAACAAATGTTTCTTCTTCCTAAATTACTCTACCCAGCAGGTAATTTTTAGTGGATGTCGATAATGAGAAGTTCAAAAAGAGGAAAAAGGAAAAAAAAAAAAAAAAAAAAAAATAATAATAATAGTAGTATATAAAATACTTTGTTTGGCCTTCCAAAAGAGGACACGACTAGAAATCAGTGGTTAAGTTGTATTTACAACACTGTTCC